GGCAGCAGATCGTCGTTCTAACTGCGATATAGCGCGGTTTATCTTCCACTACCTTGCATGTTACCAACGTTGTAGATAACATGGTTGGTCTCTAGATCCACGACCTCTCATAGCGGAAGCCATGTGCGATATAAAATACAGGATCTGTTAGAGACAATTAATTAATTAGTTGCACTAAAAATCAACACACAGGAATCCGAATAAAACGTCGGTTGTTTACTAATTGACAGTCGGTGGCGCGAGATCGGATTTCATAACTTCGGTAAACACGTGACTAATCACGAGAACCCCACCCAGGATAACGGTACACCACAACTCAACTCACTTTTTCATCCAAATTCTTCATGGTTTCCCACCATTACAATGACGAGCCACTTAAGGTTCTGTATAACTAAGGAATGCGCGACTAACTATCCGGTTAGTGTCGTCGACCGGTGGCCAAGTGGTCTGCACGTTTGCTTTTCTACCATGAGGTCACCAGTTCGAATCCGCGTAGGGGTGGGCGTCCTCGCGGTATACTCAGCCCGCGCGCGACTGGTGGTGGTCGCGCGGCAGCGAAGCGCCGTTACGGCGCACAGCTGACACATTAGTGTCGTCACTACAATGGGAGCAAAAGTTATTGTCAACCAGCTTCACCTAGTTCGGGCACTCTGTTTTATAACAACAACCTTAACCTAAACTTAGTAGTGTGTGCGCTACTTGCTCAGCGACTGACTCATATCATGGTGCACTAGCAACGACCGTATTCTTTAATGTGTATGGATTGTCTTTAATCACATGCCTTACAGTTATTATATTAAGTATCGTCCTTGGTAAAAGGAATCATTTCGATGAACTCGTTGTGTGAGTGGATGGCGACGCGCTATCTTGATGTGATCCGCGATTTGCATTGAAGTGAACCCTGGTGATTCCGATCATTTGGACCGCAACTTACGAACCAAATGGATATTGGATGTTTCCCGCTCCATGATTAGAACATGCCACTTCGAAAACGGTCGCAGAATGCAGTGTTTTCTAAGGGCTATACACATAATACTGTTAAGCGGTGGAGATTTTTTTGTACTTCTAGATGCAGTTCGCCGCAGTCCCCTCTCAGTCACTCGGGTTTCCACACGTCTATAAAAGCACCAGACAGCAGTACATCAACCTTTTGAATTTATGTTTCGCCCCCTTACAATCACAACGACCTACGAAAAGCAGAGTAATAGCAGGGAGACAAAAGCGACTTGCCGGAAAACCTTAATGTCATAAGGAAATGTTCAGGGTCATTGCGCGTGTACCTAGTCAATAACCTTCCGTCACAAATAACTTTCCATCGTGCAATATCAGCGAGACAGCTTCCTTGCGGCTTTCACTGTTCCACGTCATAATCAGCCATTACCCTGCAGATAACCCAGCACCAAACACACTTTAAACAGACATTCCGACTAGGAGACGATAGCAGATACACCACTGGCACCGACTGCGAGCCATGTCTTGTAAAGTCTCGAACCAAGCACAAGGCTGTTCTTATGGACTCTAGCCTGGAAGAGGAGACGGACCAACGGCACCCAATTTGGTTGTCAGTGACTTCATTTCTCGCTGCCCAATTTACTTCTGTCCACCTCGAGCCTTGCGCCACCCTACATCTGGCAAATAAAACAAAACCCTCCTCGGGAAGTGGTGACCGGGCATACGTAGTATGTGCCCAAGCCAATGCAACTTATTCAGTGCTGTCTATTGTTCTAACGGACTAGATTGAGTATCACTGCCTAGCACTCGCTTTCGCGCATCATCGTTGCGGACACGCTGATGCCATCGGACACCAGTTATGCTTAGCAGACATTGATAATCAAACACTTGACGGCGCTTCTGACCTTCAGATTGAAGGGGTCAAGTCTCTCCCCCAAGTCCCCTGCCGCAGCTCATGTCTTACTGGCACAAGCTGCTGACATGCAGGTCATGGAGTCGGAACCCGGCAGTGGATCGAGGAACGCGCACCACTAGGAGGTCGAAACAGCTGTCTGCTGCTTTTACAAACGTCTGGACACCTGCGTGACAGAGGCGACTGCAACGACCTGCATCTAAAATTGCACTTATAATAGTTGTTTTTCAACCTACGAACAATAGTGCTCATCATTTTGTGCATGTGTGATTGATATTGTATACGTGACTATTCTTGTCTGAGCGTTTCTGACACGGTATGCGATTCACTAGACTGAGTTAATAAGTGGGTACAAGTTGACACTTGCTCTAGGTGTAGAGTGCTTTGTGTATATTCCACGTGTTCAACATACCTTAAAACTCATGATGGATTGCTAGGTAATTATAACCCTTAGGTACGTAGGGTTTGATAAATATGCGTAAACATAGGAACATTGTTCCTTGGTGCGCGCTAACGCTCTACCAGTCAAAGAGTGGTTTGATTTTATCCGATCTAATCCTGTGTGATATTTTACGGGCTGTACTATCCGGTAACAGATATCTGGACTCACTAACGAATAAGAAACCGAGTTCATTTTTGGCTCTTTCTGTTCAGAGTTCGATTTAGAAATCTCCTTTATGGAACGACGACTTGGCTCGATTTCCCCAATCAATATGATATCATTCGAAGTGAAGACACTTTGGACGTCCGCCTTTCTGATGACTACGCTCCATTTCCTCCTTGTGTTTTCGCTTCATGTGGAGATAACCAACCGGAGCTGAGGGTTACTTTAGAATGTCAATGTCTTCCAGTAGGCTTCTTCATCACTCTTCCAGAATGCCTCGCATGCCAAGCCCGTCATATCAGGCAACAATTCGCTTTAGAGTTCTGAAGTACTCTCTCTGTGTGGTTAAGTCGCAGCATACGACCTCATTTTTGTGCCACGACTTTGGTCACTCCGTTTAATTGAAGTGCATCCGAAATGGGAATATTTTAGGTATTGCCCGCTCCCATGGCCAACTTTTTCCTCGCTTAGTCGTTCCAGGTAGCAATGTTCATAGTGTGAAGGCTCTGACTTCGGCAAGCACTTTGATCAACAAACTGTCATACTCGGCTAGCGACGCTCGATCGGAGACTATTTTTAATTGTGTGTCCGGATATACATTTTCAGGCGAATACTAGTGTTCAATAACTACTTTCTACTTCATACTACATAGCACTTTAGTTTCGTAAACTGCTTCTGTTTTGTAGTAAGCTGACATCTGTTCATTGTGTGCACTTCATCAGGGTGATTCAAGTGCAAATCATCTCCGCACATCCGGATAGGTGAATTTTTTATATACGCAGTCATCGCGGACGTATTGATGCATTTTGTCAATTACAAATGCCTCTATGACGAAGTCATTTAGAGAACGTGGGTACCTGTCACTCATGCAAACTTTCGCACTGCATAAGGGTTCATTTCGTTTCGTCTATGAATGCGCACGTCAGCTAAGGCAGTGCAAACTTTCGGTTCGCAATGATACGTGTGGGCATAGTTTGATTCTAGCGCGCTTAGAAAGAATCACAATGCTTTATAGTTCGTTTTGCATTGGTTTATCATATAATGCCGTGGTGAGACTGATACGCACATCAAATTGCTTGCTGGTAATAAGTTCACCTATCAGATCTCCCGATAGGCTGTTCCATTTTGTAACAAACCTTATCCACCTCTTAATGGAGTAGCGATAATTTAAATGTGGTCCGAATGGGACGAGAGAGCGGTGTACTCATTGTAAGGGGCTGCGTATTGTTGCTCATTTGGCAATTAGTCCACGGAGTTGCTGAGGTCCTTTTTAGTCTTAGGGCACTAAATGATCATCTGACCTTATGAGACGTTCCACAAACGTGTATACACTGAGATAGATTTCTAGCCGAAAATGTTTCAAAATACTTAAAAACCGAGGTATTAGTTATAGTTTTCATTGGGAGCTATTTTGAGGCATTCATAGTGCGAATGGTTTGCGCCACGCAACTGCTCGCAAAGCTCAATGGCCGCAAACAACGATATGCCGAATTCCACTCTCAGATCCGGCTATCTCTACTTGAGCAATCCAAACAGGGACAAATCGCATCGTGGGGTGCAGCGTAGTGGTGGGAGAGAACACCACTCAAACCTTCAAACGCAATTACAGTTGAAACGAATTCCGGTCAACTCTCTCGCTAATGCCGACATCGGTCCATTGGTTAAAGTCACATGGGCAACTGCTCGAAATGGTGCGCTGCAGAGTCAAATGCATGGCATTAGGGATTGCCATTCGTGCGATTTTCCCACTGTATTACCGTTTGTTTATAATCCCCAAGCGAATCGGTGGATTATCCACTGATGGGAACGGTCACTTTTCAAAACCATCACCAACATGTAACTAATTCCTGTGGGGTTTTTTCGCTTCTTTCTGCGTTAAGTTCAGGCTTAGCCTTCAATTGTTCTCATAGCATTCTCGTCCCTTCATGTTTCCATTTTCCACTGGCGTTTTTGGCTGTGGTTGCCAGCTTGCTATTCCCCGTCAGAGATATTCACTATCCCCTAGCCGATTGAGTTATTGCCAAAATTCTCGTCTATCTGAACCACCGAACCCACGCGACAAGTCAGCTAAGGACTAGATTTCGTCTAAATGACTCGTATTTCCTGCTGGTTTGTGGGTTATTAGAATCTGAATTATCCGCTCTAGTCGGCACGACGACGTGTGAGAGCCATCTGAGTATACTCCGATTCCTGTTTCTTTACGCAGCGTCGGACTTACATACTCGCAGCGGTTACAACTTACTATTCCACGTCCAATGGAGGTCTGTTACCATTTTGGTCTAGACTCACTCTCTCTACTTACTAGGCGTCTTTCATAGATTCACGTAGATAGCCATTCCCGTGAATCCCCCTTGATTCACTTGACGCACTTAGCTCAGTCTGTGTCCAAAAGCTCATACAAATGTACACATTTCTATATCATCCAACTATACCAATTGCTGATACCGTCGCCGCCTCTGGTAAGGATAAGCATGACGATATCTCTAACCTTTACGCCGACGATCATGTCCTCTCCCTTAACCCTGATCTCAGAATACGTCAAACCTTGGTCTCTGGACGATGACTGTTACTTGCATACTCTGGAGCAGTCGTAATACTTCCGGTCAGTCGTCGAGCAGCGAAGTCGAAACTTTCCATTGCGGTCTGAATCGTTATGATTTACCTCAGAGTAAACTACAGTTCTGAGTAAAATTGAGTGTCCCAATCCAAGCACACTGCACTGAAAAGTCTGCCGATGAATTCTTAAATTTGTCTTGTGTTGCTTGACTTTTCACAGATATTGCACTGAATTCCGCACTGGATAATAGCTTATTGGCTAGTTGACACTGCTCACTGTCAATCTCCTCAGGTTATACCATTTGTTTCACTCTGTTGGTTGCATCAACTAGGTTGGTCTAGCTGATTATATATATGGTTGGCGTCATCTGGTTTCGGATTTGCCTATCACTGGCCAGACACAGGACGCTTGCGCCTACAGAGGGACCATAGGTGGCTTGCGCTGCACCACCCACAGCTCCAACCACACACCCCATATCCAGTGTAAACCCGAAGGAATAAGACCGGGAGGCATGTGGATGGGAGCCACGTTTCATCAACGGAGCCAACCCACATTCCTTCACAGGTAAACACAAGCATGCTGTATTTGGGAATCAAACGCACACAAGTCGCTGGCTGAACCGTAGTCCGCTCTACACTGAGTGCATGGAACCACTCTTCAAGCCTAGCACAGCCACAAGGACCGTGCACCCCGTCACCTCCAGCAACGACGTACTGTCTCCTGGAGCCATTATGGACGAGGTAGTGGGTAATAGGCAGGTAAGCACCTTGTCAACATGCATATCAAGCGCAGCCACACCGGGGATATCAAGCAACAGCGAATCATTTGAAACGACAGAATGAAATAAAATAAATCCCACAATGCATACCGATAGGGTGGCATAACTCTTCGCTAAATTAGCAGATGAAGTAAGTTGGTTAGCAACGAATCCGCGATAAGGAAAAAATATCCACGAGTTACTTAAAAATGCTACAAATGCAACAAAGTTATCGAAGATAAGCGCAATTATCGTAAGCAACGTGACCAGTTAATAGAAGATTATTCAGGCAGGCAGAACAAACCAAATGGTGGAATGAAATTTATCTAGCTTAAAAAGATCTAATTTAAGTAAGTTGGTTTAGCCCAACTGCGGTGAAGAGGCGTCAAGAATGCAACATCAGTCTTAGCATGGGGCATGCATATATATATATATATATATATATATATATATATATATATATGCAAAAGCCTACGAATGCGCATGGCACCATCAAAAACCATGGGACTCAAAGCCAGGTACAGTTATCGTTACAAAACACAACACGGAGGAGTCCATGGTTTTGTCAGAGGACGAGATACTAACCGGCTGTCCAATCCTAACTAGGGTGTTGACTTAGGGACGCCACCCTAAGCCTTTAGCCGAATAACCTGCCCGAAATGCAACGGAGGGAATTTAGGGAATCGCGCCCATTGGGAGCCGGTTACTGATTGTCCCGATTATACACCCTTCGTTTGTTTATTTGTCAGACAGGGGCCCAATGCTCTGCACAATTTCAGCATTTAAGTTGCTGGTATTCAATGCTTCGCCAGTATGAAGCAAAAGGCAGTGACTTTACTTAGTCCCGGATCACATCCGCCACTTCACAGTGTTGTTAGACGGACATATGTGGCTTCTTATAGTGAGGTCGCTTGCCAAGCGAAAACCCACCACGTCCTAGAACATTGCCACCGAACGATTTGCTGGAACGGGATAATCCTGAACCACCCAGCTGGCACCACGAGGAGGTTGTTCAGCAAGCCAGGCAGGTGAAAAATATTCGTTTATTGATTTCGGCCTGCATTCTGCGGTGTTTGCCTGTGTGTATTCTTATATTGTTGTGTCAACACATGACCGCATCATGTGCCGCAAAGTGGATGAGGCATTTAAGTCTTTCAGCCTGCAATAGAATTAGCACGTACTTCCGTTTTGTGATACTTGTCAACGTAAGAGATACTATCGTTACAGCTTAGTACATCAAGTTGTGGATCGTGTTGTGCTATGAAACTGTCTTACAATTTGCTCATTTTTCCTTCCAATTGCTCTCTACGCTGTCAACACCCCTAGCTGAATCTGCGCGCATCCTTGTCAGTAAGCTAGTCACGCAATTACTTAATCGATTTATCACGTTGTCACCTAAAACTCATTCTATCATTACCGCTGATCACTTAAGTGCATCCCGTGACCCATCTCTCGTCGCCTGTCGTTTTTACCGCGTACTTTATACCTCGTGGCATGCATGACGTAATGGATACACAGACAGAATTTTTCCGCCTCTATCGCCGGGTTACCTAGTGATGCAGGCCAATTTAGAAGCCACTTTTGTCCGCCCACCCGGCTGAGCGAGCAAGCGAGAGACTTGCTCGGGTTACATTATGAAATATCTCATTGCACAATCTAAGCATTGTTTTCTGTACATCACAGTTTTCGAACCTTTTAACAAGTCTCGTATGCAATCGCTTCTCCCACTCACGGCAAACCCCAGCCATTGACCATAGCGATTTGTTTATCTCGGGAAAATCCAGAATAGGCATTTATTTATTTATTTCCCCATGTTGATTGTCCCAGTTCGCATCATCAACTCAGTCTAGCACTAGGTTTGACCAGTCGCAACATACGACCACCACAAATCAGCTGGATTATTGTGTAGACTCACGACCTGCTAGTGCCACACTGGAATATCTGTTAAACTTGACCTTAGGGCAACTCCCTGCTATTCCTGTCGACCGTCTGCCTCGGTGTGCATTGTTTATCTTTGCTGTTACTGTTTGGACGAAACTACAGTGACATACCAAAGTGAAGATGTTGACCGAGAGACTTGCTCGGGCTAATGCTTGCCGTCTTCGTGCATGGGGGGGGGGGGGGGGGAGATTGGGATAATTGGGGAATTTCGCGGACATGACAGTCGTGAAGCCAGTGGCGCTACTGCGCTGTTTTTCTTACGTCTAGATGTTGGTGTATCACCCCAGTTAGTTCCACTTGCTTTTTTCCTCCCTCTCTTTTCTCTGTATTCTGCTTGCGTTCTGCCTCATTTTTACATATTATTATTCCTATTATTATTATTATTCGTTCTTGTTATGGTGTGAGTAGTCCTAACTGGATGTATCGTATTTTGCGCTCGAATTGCAATTGTTTAACCACTGTATTGGGCTTCGCGTCCATATTTGGACAGTTGTCTTCCCTGCTGATCAGTTCGCCTGGTTATCCCAATACGCGCATTGCTATAATCTTTTATGAGGACCTCACGGTTCCATAAATTGAGATTGAATGTTAGTTATTTACTTTTTATTTAATTGGGTATTTTATGATGAATGCAACAACGGTTGCAGCACTTTTCCCCTGCCCACTTTTTTCATCCGCGGAGGTGGTAGGACATCAGCTTATCGGTCAACCGCATTGTGTATGACGTTTTTGACGACAATTTGAGATTGTCTTAAACCATCTATGTTGACTACCAACTACTCGTGTTAACTAGATATATTAATCTACCCTAGGGTCCACTGGTCCATTCACCATTATTCTACACAGTAGCTAAAAGTGGGATGCATTTCAACTTTTGTGCTGCAACACAGCACATTTAGATTATGGGAGAAATGGGAGAAAAAGTAAAGCGGAACCTAAGTCATATTTTGCTTCGATCCACCTTATGCATCGTCTACGTATTTGCATTGCGGCACATTAGCTGTGTGTTTCTCACCCTCGGCTAACGTGTTGTATTGATGATTGATGATGATGATGACGATGATGATGATGATGATGGTGATGATGATGATCGACCACGAGCACGTAGTTGGAAAGAAAGCCTAAGCAGTAAGGGAATAGATAAAGCAACTCGCTACACCAATGTCACTGGAGTTGGAACCTAACAGTAAAAGGACATAAACCAGGAAGTGCTGGCCTCCATTCCTCTTGACCACTTCAGTGATTTGACTTCACTTCTCCTTTTCCACCCATACACCGGTCTCGTAGTACGACGTTGCGGGAGTCCGTGTGCTTGCATGCGCAACACGTAGCCCAGCCATCGGAGCCTGGTGCGTGATATAGTGGTGCTGAGCAGTTCACTGGCTCTTCCTGTGCCCGATACACGTAGGTGAACACATTCATTGCTCGAACGGTGTTCCCATCATACGTGAGCGAAACTGCAAAGACATTGGTGATCGAATGTAACTAACTTCTTTATCTCTGTCCATCTGTGGCGCCAGATGTCGTAACCGTGTATAGGGGTTGGACGGATGGCTGAATTGTAAACTCTGCCCTTCAGGGCAAGATTGTTGTCGCTTCGGCGCATAAATTGGTGCATGTTAGCAAAAGCGGTTCTAGCTTTCGCCGTACGATTAGGCACTTTATCCTTTCTTTCACTGACGCCGACATAAATGTCCATGTACTTGAATTTCTGAATGAATTCTAGCGTTGGTCTTCGAATTTAGACGTAACTCATATGCTCTTCAACTGTTTTCTTCCTCATGCGTTGTTCACTAGTTCTACACCTTGTTGAGCGAAGTTCCGTGGTTACATTTTGACGACATGACGAGGAAATTGACTGCAAGTCTCGACAGTTTGACAAACACATGCTGTTTCCTTTAATGTGAACTTCGGGATCGATAGTTTGAAAATTACAGACTCCACTTGACCTAGCGTCACCGGGAATTCCGTTGCACCGTCGTCCTCAGTTCTTTAAGCGTATTGGTTGATGTTTCTATTTCGTTACCGTAAGGTTTCTTCCCGACCATTTTCGCCCCATTTTTATTTTTTTTCTCATCTTTGTTTATCTTAATTACTCTGACAAATTCATGTTTTGGTCCAACGAGCCTCTGTTTGGCCCACCTATGCTTTCGATATAGGAAAAAATCACATTTTAACAGAATATACTGAATCCAATAATTTCGCATATTCTCCTCAGCTGTTTACATGCAATTTATGGAAAGAGCAGGTTGCATATCAAAGTCAACCAAAGTGTGATGTTATCGGCGAAATCTAAAGCGGTTGAAAGTCGTTGAGTTCACTTGACTCGGTCAAACGAAAGATGATCACTAGCCTTACTAGAGTGGAGCCAGACTGGTCAAGCAGTCCGTTTCACAAACTTCCTTTCAACTGCCGAACCACCGTCACATGAACTCAACAGCTTTCATCCGCTTCAAATTTCGCCGATAACATCGCACGTTAATCACCTTGATATGCAAACTGTTCTTTCCATTAATTGTATGTAAACAGCTGTGGAGGATAAGCGAAATTACTGAATTCAGTATATACAAATGTGGTTTCTTTTGCTATAAGGGAATTCGTGGAAGGAAATGCTTGCATCAACACGTTGATGCTTTTTGGTGGCGTTTTCGGTGTGAATATACTTTGGGATGGATGTGCACATATCAAAAACCTGGGTATTGTATTGTCAGTCTACCTGAATTACGACCAGGGTATTAGTGACATGTGATTTCGTCATTGCTCAACATTATCATTCACTGCTCCAGGGAACGTCTTCCTATTGTGTATGACACTTGCATCGGCTTTAAATTGTTCACGGTTATTACGCGCTCTACATTTTGAGCTACACGTTGTAAGAACCCGAGGTATAAGCGGCGTTCATTGTTTCTGACCAACGAAACATCGACTCATCTTCGCAGTCCTTGTTGGCGCCTGAATGACGCGGGTAACTTTCCATGTCTAGTGGTTTTGTGTGTGTGCACTTCTTATGCGTCCATTCCTCGTGCGCATACAACTGCGGTTCCAAAGTGCTCCTTTCCTTTGTGCTGATGGCTGGTTGCCTTTTCTCATCCTGACCCTTCCATACTACTTATAACTGGCGCGGTAGTGTTTATCTTTGTCCACCTCAACGTTAACTTCTTGAGTTTCCGCCCTTACCCTGCTTCTTTTCGGCATACATTGAGTGCTTCACCATTTGATCAGCCCCAACATGACCACCTTTCAGGTACAATTGCAAAAGGTGGGGCTTCTGTCGGATGGTCTGATTGCTTGTCACATTAGCAAGGTGGTGTACACCCAATACGGCACTCATGACAATAAATATAACGCTTGCAACTCTGTGCGTGCCACAGGCATGCTTGTACATAGCTACCAATTTGAAATTCCCGGTTTTCTCTTTACCATTCTACCTAACCGTGGCGGTGGAGAATCCGCTTCATCATCTCATCAAATTGCCTTTTTATACAACCAGTTTTTTCAACCCTCCTCTTTAGAAACTTGATTACTACAATAAAACCTCTTCTCTGGAATTTCACCACTTCTGTTCAGTAACCCACCACCGATGTGCGCATCAAAGTGTTTTGCTTGATGTGACATTTCATCAATCTGAGCTTCGGTATACAAATGGCTGCTCAGAAGTGTTGTCACTGTTTTATCCGTTACGGCCGTTGTTTCCAGGTTATCGTTTGCCTCAATGTTTAGATACTGACCCTACAAAAGGAGAGAGAATGCTTTACCTACCAAAAAGTACTGTTGTAGTTTGTCCCCATATTTAGCACCGGTAAACACATTTCACAAGCAAAATCTACCAAAAGCAACAATTTTAAATACAGTTTCTGGGTACCATCACTGACTTACCTAATGGGACACTTCCTGAATGCTAAGTTTCATCTTTAACAGAATTTCCTATCGAGTGAGGATA